GCTTTATTGCCTAACATCCAGGCTACCAGGTTCTTGGTCTGCCTAACATTCTGGCTACCAGGATGCCTTGGTGAACTGGCGCTCATGGTAGCAGGAGAGACAATCAAGAGTCCTTGCAAGTTAGGTTCAACATAATGGTTTAAATTAAATATAAAAAAATTATTGCACCTTTTCTTTACGTCAGATTGCAAATTGAGGATAAACTCATAAGCAATTGGAGAAACTTCTTGAAGAAAAGCCAATGCACATGACACTTGACTCATTTGACCGACAAGAATGGAGTACCATACTCGACAATTTAGCATTCAAACCTTTAGATTCTGTGAACCTTGTGATTTCTTCATTATCAAAACTTTTGAAGGCTCACAATATATCACAAAGTTTTTACTCAATTATCGTCTCTAAGTTTGGGAGCTTCATCTGCAGTTAATGCGGTGTAGCTAGCTACACACCCACCAATTGCATAACGAGAACTAACAAGTAAACACTAACCATCATTCCCGCCAACTTGGCTGTTGCACACGATTAATTCTTCATGCATGCACTAACATTTATGAAGGTTATTAAACCATTCTATTGAATGTCAGTTACTAATAAATTTGTAATATAGGAGTAATTTGTATCTTTCATTTTATTACATGACTATTTTGATGTATCATTTGTTGGTATCTCTGCTACCTTCATTGTTTGTGTTTTTTGTTAGGATGGTACTCCTGATCACAATGGAAGGAGTTTCCATGTCTCAGCTTATTGCATCAGTGGTCAGTTTTATATTTGTGGATTGAATAATAGGTAGTTTTTCATGTATTTGTGAGTGAATGTACATACCTAGTGAAGATGTTATTCTTTGAAATTTCCATCGATAGTGACATAACTACATTAATGTATTATGCACTTGAAATAAGAAATGTAGCTTTACGCATTAAATTAGCACCAGTGCGTTAGCATTGTGTGCATTAGGGGCGGTCCATTATAGCTTTCTAACGCTGATTGGATTCCAGTGGCTGTGACACTGCACACGTTCTGATGCTAATTGTATTCTTGTGACTGACATTGCACACGTTCTAGCAAATAGCAATGATTGGATTCATGTGACTGATGTTGGACGTGTTCCAGTGTTTATTGGATCCTTGTTACTGTGATGATGTAAGCTCTGTTTTTTTCCAATGAAACAGTTGTGGCAGCTTGCAGAGACTTGTCAGTTATGGAGATGGACTGAAAGTAAAAGTATGCTGGCCTTTCCAGATTTTTAGGTCATGCTTTCCAATTTGCTATGTTTACCAGTTAATATATTACCCCTCAGGAACTCCACACTGCATGTATTTATTATTCATTTGTCATTTATTTATCATTTCCTTTTTATTTCTACATCATTTATTCATCAAACTGAAATTTATTTTGTTAAACTCTGCCATTTGGCTAACTTATACCATTCATGTTTCTCAGTCAGTCCCACTGTGCAGAGAACGGATGAATATTGCAAGATCTTTGGCAACGCTTCAGTAGCAAAATTTAGGCCTTCAGAAGATCTTGCTGACACATTTAGATTGAAATTCTTGCATTTAATAGATTTGTCAGTCTTTGGCCAACTATTTAGAAAAAAGTAAGATTTCTGGTACGTTGGATGGATCAGGATGCAGTGAAGCTTGTCCGGAAATCAGTTGCAATGAGTACCCGCCAAAACAACAAATCTAAACAACAAATTTACAATTGCGTAGTTGCGGTCACTATTAAAGCGGTCAGACTGCATTATCACATGTTCAGTTGACACTTGCTGTACATTCAGACTGTTTTCAGGGCAAAATTAATTATGTGGGGTAACACGTGCATGCAACCTTGTAAATGAGTTTGTGGCTTGTAAATAGTTTTTCATTACTCAGCGTAAATGGCTTTTCATTAAAAATTATCCGGCAACGCATCTTGAAAATGGTTGGCAACGCTTTGGGCTTAATAACCCATAGGGTAAACGCGGTATATTCCGACATCGTAGGTAATTCCGTCACTTCTCTAGTTATTCCTTTATATTAAGCTTTGTTTTAGTTCCATGCGTTCATTGATGGTTGAAATGGTGACGTCATACATTTGCGTGTCGAAATACTGCAAAAACACTAGGTCTTGGCCCTGTCTCTTATACACATCTAGATGTGTATAAGAGACAGGTCTAACATCAACAATTTCACGACGGTAGGTAGTACTTGAGTTGAAATAAATTTTCGTCAACTTCCATACAGAAGGTCTTGCTGAGAAAGTTTTTCCAACTTATCGTTCACGATTCTTTCAATTCACTCAAAAAGTTATTTATCTAAATTTCTAACACAAGGCAGCGGGAATATCAGGTTTGATCTGCTACTGATCGAAATGTTTTACCATTCCAATAACCGTTGGTCGCAATCGTGTCATCTTTTTGCTTACATTGTGTGTCTTGTGCAAGNCTGGATACCAGCATTATCATACTTAAGAAATTGGTTCAAATCTTGAGTAAATGAGGAAATTAAAAATGAACTGATTCTAAAAAAGCTCTGGTTTGCCACTATGGGTACCTACGAGGCTACTAAAATCCTAAAATGCCTCACTTTACAGATGGAGAACATTGCATAGAAATTTTATTATATTTGTAATTGTAGGTTAAAGGTCTAATAAGGATTGCTAATTGCTTCTAAATGCTTCATAAGTGATTTAGAAAAATTTGCAGATGAGAACAGCCTGATTGTCCTAGCCTATTTTCACAGAAGGAATCGGGAAAAGAACATAACCCACAAGAATGGGAAAATTTGGACAGATTTTCTATGTGTTTTTGTCCAATTTACTGTCTATTTACATGTGGCTCATTTCAAATAGCCTATTTCCTAAATTTGCACTTATAATTTTTTGGCATTTATTATAAATTTTTTTGATAATTTTTGCATCATAGGGCCTACTTTAATTTCATGCCTCCAAAGCTAATAGTAACAAAATAAATTACAATTTACAATTATTAGGGATTTGAAGTTTGATGGCACACATTTCTAAGATTTAGGCCTAACAAAAATGAGTACTAAAAAAATTCATTGACTGTTAAAAAGCATCCATGTCAGTGTCACTGTGTCAGTGTCACTGTCAAGTTGTCAACAGGCAATTGGCAACAATCACAAATCACTAGGGTAGGTATGTTACCGTATGTTGTTATGTAGATAGGCCTACCTAATTTTTTCATTATACTAATAAGGTGGCAAATGGCGATTCATATCTAAAAGTGGACATGTAGAGTGCAAGTCACTTGACTTCTCGAGTCAAAGTTAAGACTTGAGTCAGGTGTTATACCTAATTAATTTAGTTTCAATTCAGAATTATGGGCTTCATATGCAAAATGTTATATTGCTAATTAGTCTATTTCTATTGATTAACCGAAATGTTCAGCCCTTAGGACTAATATAAAAGACTTACCGAAATAAGGCCACCACTCAAGCTAATTTCAGAAATCAGAATTTAGAGGTGCTACTGGTGGGTATTCTTCCTGGCTTAGAACTTCAGTTAGAAGTTAGAACTTAGATGACGATGATCCTTACTCAGTACGGTAGACAAACAGTCACGAACTTCCTCGTTGCTCTAAAGACGACGTAATATTGCAAATTTTGGAGTTTGGACCAACAAGCAAATCCGGGAAAACGCAAATTTCATTTCTGAATGTTCACTGTGACTGTTCAATGTGACACGAAAGCTTTTGAGAGATGAATACACGAAAATTATCAAATAAATGCAGTGATTAACATCATGATTTTGATGAAAATTCATTGTATTATTGATTCCTGATATTCCGATAACATGAATTTATTATTCTGTTTATTCGTTCCATGCTCTAATTGTATTTTACATTGCAATGAAGCAATTGCGTTCACGTCATGAGGTAATTACGTGTACGTCATGACGTGACTATTTATTAATAAATTACGTCATGACGTTCACTATTTTTTACAGCAAGCTACCGCCCTTCTCAGAGAGTCAGTAATTAGCTATAGCCAGAGGTGGACAGTAGCGCGCTACATGTAGCGGCCGCTACATTTTCAGTAGCGGTAGCGGCGCTACATTTAATCAATTGTAGCGGTAGCGGTAGCGCCCGCTACATATTTAAGTAGCGATACGAGGTTTTGTCGCTACAGCGCTACCACTATATTTATAGATAAATCCTTTAGATTTTTCTCAATGGTATTAAATATTATCTAAAAATCAGCATGTACATATATAATATAAATTACAGAACAAAACTGTACGAAAGATTTCGGTGTAATGTTGTCAACCTAAGCCTGTTACTAGTGTCAACATGTTAGTTGTTACTAGAGGTAGGCAGTAGCGCGCTACATGTACCGCGGTAGCGGCGCTACATTTAAGCAATTGTAGCGGTAGCGCCCGCTACATTTAGAGCATGTAGCGGTAGCGGTAGCGCCCGCTACATTTAGAGCATGTAGCGGTAGCGGCCGCTACATTTCAAAGTAGCGCTGCCCAGCTCTGGCTATAGCAGATGTCATAATTTCAGCAACAAAAAAACGGTCGACAATTTGTCTGGCTAGAGTGAACATTTTCGCTCACACAGAAATAAATGGGAACATCCATTAAGGTGGACGAGAATTAGCCTAATATTGTGGACAACTTATATTCTTGAATTGATTAAGAAACAAAACTTCAACGCCTACTTTATCATTCGACCTTATATCAGAATACATACTAATTTTTAGTGGAAAAATATATTATAAGATAGTTAATTCATCAACTCTTGTAACAATATATATTTCTACGTCAACACTTGAAGATTGCATTGAAATAACATTTCAACACAAATTTTAAACTAAGTTCCTTAAACATTAGAGATTGAAGTAATTCTGATTAATTTCTCTCTTTTTTCCTCTATTATCAAAATACTAAAGTAATTTTACATTGACAGAATATATGTCGAATATAAGAAACTAATTATTTGGTTTTCATTAAACAAAAAAATAGTAGCACTTTTCTTTGAAATAGGAAGCAATGCAAATGAAGTTATCCATGTTCAATGCAAAATAATATTCTTCGTTTGTAACAAATTATTAGAAGCTACTGCTATGTAGAACATAGCTCTTCATCATCCAACAACAGCTGTTCAGAGGTCGACTGGGCTAGATTATTATTATTTGTTGAGGAGCTCGGCCCAAATCCGGCATCATTACTTTCATGATAGTTGGATAACCTCATGTTTGAAACATCGTCCAGGAAGCAGGCATCTATGCCAGGCTCAACTACATTGTTGTCCGGAGATGGTATTCTTTTGGTTGGGGTAGTGGAGATGCTATCAGAGGTCAGGTAATCAGCTGGATTGAAAATCTGAAATGCATAGTTGCCAGTCTGACCAGTGTTCTCGTTGCCCGCCTCCACATCGAATCTCTGTGAGTACAGAAATTGCCATCCATCAAGATTAAGAACTTGGCCAAAATTTTAATATATTGAATACATAAATAAATAAATTATGCATGCTACATGATATTAACATATAGTGTTTATACCAAATATTCATCAATAACATCACATGCTATAACATATTTTTCATTGTTTGATAATAAAAGAACTCAGCAAATTAAATGAGTGAGCTTGAACTCGTAATAAAAATTGAGGTTTAAAAAAATAAAATTGGATTATCAACGTTAATAATTAGGATTGTCGTGGTTAGTTTTCAAGTACTGAATTAAGATATTCAATTTAAAACTCAATATGCTGTTCATGTACAATTCAGAAGTACAGGAGCTTCATTTTAAACAAAATTGAGTTTGACCAATAGGTATAGATTATATTATCAGCGAGTAGTTTTATTTGTCTTGATTCAAAGAATATGATGAGCATTGGCTAACTTTTCAAGTAAAATCTTTGGAAACTGTAAATTATGGTTTTAACTTCAGTATTTCTTGGTAATTTCCCTTTTAATTTTGAAAAACTTTACACCATTCTTTAAAGCTTGAAGGACATCAAATGAAATTTATGGACATTCTGCACTCAATTTGAACGTGATTGGACTAGACAAGTTTATTAAGGACGCCTCTAGTGAAAACTTTGAATCTACAAATCTTCTGTTGCAGAAAAAATGCAGTTGAGGTAGTGCCAACCTTCAACACAGGCTGCAATAATCTGTGAGCAAGAGAAGGCTGTTCACCAAGCAACTGGAGCTCAGCAGCCGCCATGGCAGACTCCAGTTTGGTGACATCAGCTGAGACTTTTTCAACAAGCTTTGAAAGTTTATCTAAAGCACGGAACTGCTGCTTCAGAACCTGCAAGAAATGCAACTCAATAAGGTCACCAGATTGAGATATCAAGAAGCAATATAGAAAAATTGCAAATAAGGAGTCGAGCAAACTTCAGCAATATATAAATCACAAAGCAAGCTCAATAAAAATTCCTCAATTTTAAAAATTGAAAGAAGAAATATTTTTAAGATGTGTACCTGCCAAATAATTCACCTATAAGAAATTATGTATTTCAATAGCATTTGTGCCTACAAAGTTTAGGAGACTGACCTCATACTGGCTTTCAATAGCAGGAAGCTGCTCTTTAACTTTTTGGTGATTAGAAACAACCTGTAAAGTAAGTGGAATCAGCAGTGTGCATTTTAAATTTCAATACTGACTACCTACTATTTAATTCCATAAATTATAATATCAAACAGAAAATTAAAATTATTAATTATTTATACATAATTTTTATGTGTTATTTTCCAGTTTCTCAGTATTTCTGCAGACTGCAGTACAAAATTTATATGCTTCATAACACCTACATAAATTTATATGCTTCATAACACCTACGGTATATAAATTTATATGCTTCATAACACCTACATTGTGATTTGACCAACATTTTATCAACAAAACCTCATCTGCAATAAGAAAATTTACAGGCATTTTGATGCATTTTTGAAACAACTTACAGTTTGTTCTTAGAAATCATCATGCAGGGAGGAAATTAGTTGCATTTTGCTTACCAGTTTTATTACATTAAACAGTTCATCATTAACTTTCCTCTGATTTATAGAGAGGTTAAGTTAAAATGATAAAATAAGTTAATTTCTAGAATTATATGATTTTGGGAACTTGGGAAAACTGTAGACAAATTTTGAAAAATTTAACCAACAGATAACCCAGGATAAATATAAATTAATTAAGCTTTTCATCTAAGCTGCTTAAGATTTCTTAGCAATATTTTTTTCCAATTAGTCACTAAAATTTATTTAACATACTTAAGTGGATGAAAAAGTATGCAGAAGAATCTCTGCATAGTTTGAAACATTATACAAATTGAGTAAAAGTTTCTTGAAATGCAGTCCTATTTTAATGTAGTAAAATATATATTCTTATTTAAAAATTTATTTTTTAAACCTCTCCAATTGATCTTGTAGCTCTCACAGAAAAAAAATTGCAAAATCTACTAGAATCGTTTGGCATAAAGACCACCTGCACAAATTTTCCCCCAAAAAAACAATGAATTAAGATATTTTACTTCTAATATTTGCACAAGCTTCAGCTAGCCTAGATAATTACATCAAGTCAATGAGTAAAATAAAGATAGAGCAAGACTGGATTTAGCTTTTGGATTTCATTATATTAACCAGAATATCTAAGATATTGTTTTGGTATCTGTCTTTAAAGTTCATTACCTATGTGAAGAAGTAACTTTACAACAAAATGAACAAATGTTCTTGCAAAACCTAAGATTATAATAAGTGAATTATAAGTATAGTAGGACAGTATGAGGTACTTACTTTCTGAAACAAAGTATCATTATCCTTAATTTGCTGTTGGGCAGAAGCCAATTCTTCCAACATCCCTTTTCTCTGGAACAAATGCACCTGATTAGTACAATGAATGCTATCAAATCAATTAAATTAAAAAAATACAATAGCATTAGTAATATTTGGATAACAATCATGATGTTAAATATTTTACTCAGAGTCTGATGGAGGTGAAGGAAAATTATAAATCTCAGTAAAATCTTATAAGTTTTCAAGTTGTGTATCATTACTTCATAGTTCATATGACAATAATAATGACATATGTACTATTATGGAAAAATAGTTCCCTAACTTCCCTGAAATTTTGAACTTAATGGTTTAGTAGCCTACTATGTTTTTTGGCAAAAATATCTCACGTACCTACATGATCATGATGACTGCACATAAAATGTTTTCATTAATAATCTTGCGATTTGAATCATAGTCATATCAAATTGTAATTGTATACAGCTTTAAAAATTTAAGGTACGCTGCAAGTCTGCAACCAATCTGATCTTTATAACTAGGCTAGGTACAAACTACAAGCCACAAGGCATTCCCAAATTTTTTATTTATTTCTGGTAAACTGCAAAATAAAAGGCAAAGAGTCTCTCAACTTCTCAAGGTTCTGGTTCTAGATCAAAAATGATTATTGAAAAATTATAGGGTAAACGCAGTACATTCCGACATCGTGGGTAATTCCGTCACCTCTCTAGTTTTTCCTTTATATTAAGCTTTGTTTTAGTTCCATGCGTTCATTGATGGTTGAAATGGGACGACTGAAATAACCCAGCATTGCCCAATACCAGCATAATTTTCATACTTCACCCCGTGCGCAAGCATGCTGCAGAGCAAATTAGACAACATGATTACTTGCTGAAAGCCACAGGGACTAAATTCCTTCATGGATGTAAACCAGCGAGCCNTACCACACTCAGGATGATGTATGTTTTCGGTGAATTTTCCCGCGCATTTTCACTTTTTTCAAGCTATTGCTGTGCACAGTTGGCGCAATGTAATGAAAATTGATTATCTTCGCGCACGTGTTCGCGCAATCCTGGCCATTTTTATTTTAGAAGAAATTTTCTCCAAAGTCATATGGCAACACTGAACACCGTCTGTTTACATTTCGTATGTATAACAGCCGCAGTTTACGATTACCATACGTTCCGTTTCCGACAAGGCAGACAACCGGAAGAGTCAGAAGTAACCCGGACATGGCGGGACATGTCTTACATTTTATTATTGTCAGTTCGACTTGCGTAGTCAATATACTCAGGTATATTGTCGAGCATAGTGGCAAACCAGAGCTTTTTTAGAATCAGTTCATTTTTAATTTTCTCATTTACTCAAGATGCAAGCCAATTTCTTATGTATGATAATGCTGGTATCCAGGATACTTTACTGGTCTACTTATAGGACTCAAAAATGAACTTGAGGGAGAGTCTAAAAAACTCTCTGCTTTGCCACTATGATGTCGACTAAAATAGTAGAACTATTTTAGCTTTCTAAAGTACGGCGCACGGCGCATTTTTTTATCAACGTAGTACGGCGCACCGCGCAGGTCGTTAAAATGACAAAATAAATTCCCGCGCACCTGGCACATCTTCCTGACCATGGAAGCTATGTACAAAAAATAAAATTTGCTTAATTAAAAGCTTAATAGTTGTTAATTAAAAGCGTAATTAAGTAGTATTCAATATTCATTAGTGTTCTAATTCAAAGTCGTGTTGTATTCCAATACAGCTCACACAGCGAACGGAATTCGAACACGTGGATGACGGCATTACGTATCAGTAGAATTTGAAGCGCAGACAGAATACGCCTCACCACATACCAAATATTGCCATTTGCCACACACAGTGTCGGAATATAGAGATTTGGTAGGTTTGCATTCTAAAGGCTTTTAAATAAATATGGCAACATTTTGTGACCTTTCATCATTGCTGGCGCGTAGTACGGTGTTTTGCGAGTCACATAAAGCAAAAGGAACTTGAGTAACGCATACGGTTATTTTTTTATAGTTTTTCATTTCTTGATGCATCCTTAATGTGTCGGAATATACCGCGTTTACCCTAGAGATTTTTTTTTGTTTGTTTTTTTTAGAAGGCCTCCCACACTCACCATTCCAACAAAAAAAAAAAGGAATTGATTTTATTAATTAAAAACAGGGAATGGTTTCATGTCAATGATCAGGGCCCCGACCTTAACGCCTCTGATGGTGGCCTACACCGACTCCGAGGTCGTAGTGAAGTGTTTTGAGAGTCATGTGAAGGCAACAGAACTTACGTAACGCATACAGTTTTTTTATAGTTTTTCATTTCTCGATGCGTCCTTAAAGTGTCGGAATATACCGCGTTTACCCTATATTGGCAACGCTGCTTCCACTTTCTGCACACTGGTCAGTCACAGCGTTTCCCCCACATGCCTGCAGTCAAAGTCTCAACTAGAATGTTTATTTCAGTTAGAATAGAGAGCCTACAACAAGAGCTTTTTAATAGTGCTAAAATTTTTAAAATTGGCTCAAAGCCATACATATGAAATTGCTTTCACTAACAATTTCTTGGAAATGAGCCCACTTTTTTAGGAAAAACTATCAATTTTACCAAAAAAGTGCCAAAAATTGCTCCATTTCTGAGACAGTAAGACAGACAATTTAATAATGGAAAAATTCCTAGCTTTTTAACTTTTAGGCCTACTTGCATTCCACTTATTGACTTATGTTTATATAATAATATTCTAAAATCTAAATTTGGTATTATTGCAGATTAACTACATCCAAAAAAAAGGGTGTTTTTTTTTTTTAATTATATGTTTTTTGGGGTGTAGATTACGAATCTGAAATCCATTTTTGGCGGTCGGCATCGGAAAACCGATTTTTTGCAATAATACCGATCACACGTAGCGCACGACATCTTGAATGAAACTTACCCGTTGCACTGCAACGGGTAAAGACTGTCTCTTATACACATCTAGATGTGTATAAGAGACAGTTTTCGTCTTCTTTGTCCATAAATCTGGAGATACATTGCCACATCGAGAGATCACAACCTAACGCCAACTCGCAGGTTGGGTTGGTTCGCCCAGGTTCCTTTTAGATCAAAATGCTATCTAAAAAAAGGAACTTGGCTGACTTAACCCAACCTAAGAGCTTTTTGTAAAATTTCGATGAACAATCCGACCCTTTATATAAAGGTGAGTGGGTAACGT